CCATCATCACTACATATAACAACATCCATCATCACTACATATTACATCATCATCCATCATCACTACAAATAACATCATCTATCATCATTGCATGTAACACCATCCATCATCACCTCATATAACACCATCCATCATCACTACATATAACAAAATCCATCACCACTTCATATAACATCATCCATCATCACTGCATATAACATCAATCATTATCACTACATATAACACCATCCATCATCACTACATATAACACTATCCATCATCGCTAAATATAACAATATCCATCATCACTACATATAACATCATTCATCATCACTACATATAACACCACCCATCATCACTACATATAACACCGTCATCATCACTACATATAGCACCATCCATCATCACTACATATATCAACATCCATCATCACTACATATAGCATCATTCATCATCACACCATATAAACTTTATCCATCATACTACATATAACAACATCCATCATCACTACACCCTTAACACCATCCATCATCACTACGCGCAACACCATCCATCATCACTACATATAATACCATCCATCATCACTACATATAACAACATTCATCATCACTACATATAACACCATCCATCATCATCACTACATATAACACCATCCATCATCATCACTAAATATAACACTATCCATCATCACCACTACATATAACACCATCCATCATCACTAAATATAACAACATTCATCATCACTACATATAACATCATCATCCATCATCACTACATATAACACCATCCATCATCACTACATAAAACACCACCCATCATCACTACATACAACAACATTCATCATCACTACATATAACAGCATCCATCATCACTACATATAACACCACCCATCATCACTACATATAACACCATCCATCATCACTACATATAACACCATCAATCATCACTACATATAACACTATCCATCGTCACTACATATAACACCATCAATCATCACTACATAAAACACCACCCATCATCACTACATACAACAACATTCATCATCACTACATATAACAGCATCCATCATCACTACATATAACACCACCCATCATCACTACATATAACACCATCCATCATCACTACATATAACACCATCAATCATCACTACATATAACACCATCCATCATCACTACATATAACACCATCCATCATCACTACATATAACACTATCAATCATCACTACATATAACACCATCCATCATCACTACATATAACACCATCCATCATCACTACATATAACACCATCCATCATCACTACATATAACAGCATCCATCATCACTACATATAACATCATCATCCATCATCACTACACATAACACCATCCATCATCACTACATAACGCCATCCATCATCATATCACCCATCACCACTACGTATAACAACATCCATCATCACCATCATCATCATCCATCATCACTACATATCGCATCATCATCCATCATCACTACATATAACATCATCCATCGTCATATAACAACATCCATCATCACTATATATAACATCATCATCCATCATCACTACAAATAACATCATCAATCATCATTGCATGTAACACCATCCATCATCACCTCATATAACACCATCCATCATCACTACATATAACAAAATCCATCACCACTTCATATAACATCATCCATCATCACTGCATATATCATCAATCATTATCATTACATATAACACCATCCATCATCACTACATATAACACCATCCATAATCGCTACATATAACAATATCCATCATCACTACATATAACATCATTTATCATCACTACATATAACAACACCCATCATCACTACATATAACACCATCCATCATCACTACATATAACACCATCCATCATCACAACATATAATATCATTCATCATCACTACATATAACACCATCCATCATCACTACATATAGCACCAACCATCATCACTACATATTACACCATCCATCATCACTACATATAACATCATCCAGTATCACTACATATAACATCATCATCCATCATCAGTTCATATAACACGATCCATTATCACTACATATAACACCATCCATCATCACTACATATAACATCATCCATCATCATTCCATGTAACACCATCCATCATCACTACATATAACACCATCCATCATCACTACATATAACAACATCCATCATCACTACATATAACACCTACCATCATCACTACATATAATATCATTCATCATCACTACATATAACACCATCCATCATCACTACATATAACACCTTCCATCATCACTATATATAACACCACACATCATTACTATATATAACAACATCCACCATCACTACATATAACATCATCATTTCATCATCACTACATATAACACCATCCATTTTCACTACATATAACACCATCCATCTTCACTACATATAATACCACCCATCATCACTACATATAACGCCATCCTTCATCACTACATATAACATCATCCATCATCACTACATATAACATCATCATCCATCATCACTACATATAACATCATCATCCATCATCACTACATATAACAACATCCATCATCACTACATATAACACCATCCATCATCACTACATATAACAACATCCACCATCACTACATATAACAACATCCATTATCACTACATATATCATTCATCATCACTACATATAACACCATCCATCATCACTACATATAACACCATCCATCATCACAACATATAATATCATTCATCATCACTACATATAACACCATCCATCATCACTACATATAGCACCAACCATCATCACTACATATTACACCATCCATCATCACTACATATAACATCATCCAGTATCACTACATATAACATCATCATCCATCATCACTACACATAACACCATCCATCATCACTACATATAACACCATCCATCATCACTACATATAACACCACCCATCACCACTACATATAACAACATCCATCATCACTACATATAACATCATCATCCATCATCACTACATATAACATCATCATCCATCATCACTACATATAACATCATCCATCGTCACTACATATAACAACATCCATCATCACTATATATAACATCATCATCCATCATCACTACAAATAACATCATCAATCATCATTGCATGTAACACCATCCATCATCACCTCATATAACACCATCCATCATCACTACATATAACAAAATCCATCACCACTTCATATAACATCATCCATCATCACTGCATATATCATCAATCATTATCATTACATATAACACCATCCATCATCACTACATATAACACCATCCATAATCGCTACATATAACAATATCCATCATCACTACATATAACATCATTTATCATCACTACATATAACAACACCCATCATCACTACATATAACACCATCCATCATCACTACATATAACACCATCCATCATCACAACATATAACACCATCCATCATCACTACATATAAAAACATCCATCATCACTACTTATAACACCATCCATCATCACTACATATAACATCATCCATCATCACTACATATAACACCATCCATCATCACTACATATAACAATTCATCCATCATCATCACATATTACACCATCCATCATCACTACATGTAACATCATCCATCATCACTACTTATAACATCATCATCCATCATGAGTACATATAACACGATCCATTATCACTACATATAACAATCATCCATCATCACTACATATAACACCACCCATCATCACTACATATAACAACATCCATCATCACTACATATAACACCATCCATCATCACTACATATAACAACATCCATCATCACTACATATAGCACCATCCATCATCACTACATATAACACCAACCATCATCACTAAGCATATAACACCATCCATCATCACTACATATAACAACATCCATAATCACTACATATAACACCACATCTATCATCACTACATGTAACACCATCCATCATCACTACATATAACACCATCCATCATCACTACATATAACACCCATCATCACTACATATAACACCATCCATCATCACTACATATAACACCCATCATCACTCTCACAATATATAACACTCATCACTACATATGTACCAACTCCATCATCACTATATATAACACCATCCATCATCACTTCAAATAACAACATCCATCATCACTAAATATAGCACCATCCATCATCACTACATAAACACCACCCATCATCACTACATATAACACCATCCATCATCACTACATATAACATCATCCATTATCACTACATATAACACCATCCATCATCACTACATATAACAACATCCATCATCACTACATATAGCACCATCCATCATCACTACATATAACACCATCCATCATCACTACATATAACACCATCCATCATCACTACATATAACACCATCCATCATCACTACATATAGCACCATCCATCATCATTACATATAATTCCACCCATCAATACTACATATAACAACATCCTTCATCACTACATATAACACCATCCATCATCACTACATATAACACCATCCATCATCACTACATATAACACCATCCATCATCACTACATATAACACCATCCATCATCATTACATATAACACCATCCATCATCACTACATATAACACCATCCATCATCACTACATATAACACCATCCATCATCACTACATATAACATCATCCATCATCACTACATATAACACCATCCATCATGACTACATATAACACCATCCATCATCACTACATATAACACCATCCATCATCAATACATATAACACCATCCATCATCATTACATATAACACCATCCATCATCACTACATATAACACCATCCATCATCATTACATATAAGACCATCCATCATCACTACAGCATCTCAACTACTGCTACTACTACTTTACTATAACATGTTCAGTTTGAGGCTGAGGAACAAAATTCCAACCTTATTTTTCTATAAATATTAATCTCTCCCTAAATTTCAAGTTTAGGTCACCAGAAGAACCAAATATTATTATACAATTTTAAGATGGATCGGGTGCAAGTGATCCAGTTCAGAGCAGCTCTCAAGGAGTTGGAGAATCTAGAGGCTCTCCGGAATTCATCTGTATTAAGCCTTCACCTCCCATTGTCTTCCTCCCTGATACTCGTAAAAAATAGAGTCAAGGATGAACAAAGCCGCGCGGCCAACATAAAATCCATTTCCAACCGCTCTTCAGTGCAAGAAGCACTGAAGAGTGCTGTGGATATGTTATCCGCCATCAATATCATGCCACCCCATGGGCTTTCAGTGTTTTATGGCCAATCTGTTCTCAACAGAGCAACCGGCGAGGTGAGTCGCCTTCGCCGGACGTTAACACCTCCTCAACCAGTCCAAGACTTTAAATACGATGTCAGCAAGACATTCTCCACACACTCACTGCACCAACTACTCGTCTCCCAAGAGGGAGGCATTGGCTACATCATCCTCGATGGTTCAGCGGTTGCCCTTGGAACGCTCTCTGAAAATGGACTAAAAGTCCACCACCATGAGAACGTGGACATTCCAAAAAAGCACGGGAGAGGTGGCCAGTCTGCTCCCAGGTTCCAGCGCATCCGCCTGGAAAAAAGGCAATTGCTGGTGAAGAAAGTAATTGCGCTCAGCGAATAGTTTTATCTGGATGAAAATAAGGCAACCATGCAGGTGCAGGCCCTGGTGGTAGGGGGTCCTGGTCAGCTGAAGGACCAGTTGGTGGAGCGTCTCCCCCAGCTCTTGAGGGGTTCTGTAAGACATGTAGAAAACACCTCATACTCCGGCCGTCAAGGGCTGAGGGAGGCCATCAATGCCACACGGGACCTCCGCCAGCACATGCTTTTGGAAAAGTCTAACACTGTCCTCAGTTCCATATTTGAAAAACTCAGGGTCGATGAACCGGACATGGTCTGCTTTGGTAATGAAGTTCAAGCGGCCATGGAGGATGGTGCCGTCCAAGCTGTAGTGCTATGGGACGAGTCCCCTGAAGTCGCCTGGTTCGCAGAAAACTGTCCCGAGGAGACAGAATTACTTGTGATACCCAACACAACTAATAATACGAACATGCTGGTAAGCACGTTTGGGGGGACAGCGGCCTTAAATAAATACCCAAGAGCTCTCCCAAACGAAGAGGAGGCCGAGTGAGGCAAATAAAAAAAAAATAAAAGAATAAAAAAAAATAAATAAAAAAATGTAACAAAATAAAAATAATTGTATTTTCTTTTATAAATAACAATATTGTCTTATTAAAACCAGTTGATTTAAAATGTACCAAAATGAACTTCACATAAGAAAGTAAACACCATCATTAACATTCAATACAATAATAAACAATATCTTCCTTTCACTCATATAATATACCTTACTTTAATACATATTATACATATTAATATATAGTCAATAATATCCAAAACTATAGTTCTTTATCTTTATTTCACTAAACCTATTAAATATACATAGTAAGCGTAGGTAACATCCGATTGAATACATATAGTGAGGGTAGGTAATACATCTAGCAAACCAAAACAATCACACTAAAGATAATTATCTAAGCTAAGACAATGTTAACTTATTATCACTGGGATCCTAACCTAACCTAGCCTAACCTAACCTAACATAACATAGCCTAGCCTAGCCTAGCCTAGCCTAGCCTAGCCTAGCCTAGCCTAGCCTAGCCTAGCCTAGCCTAGCCTAGCCTAGCCTAACCTAACATAACCTAACCTAACCTAACTTATCCTTAAACTATAACTGTATGTAGTGGGAGCCACATAGTTATCTGATGGTCCTTAGACAATGTAAAAAAATATTCTTGTTTAAGGTGAGTTAGATTTTTTACGTTATAATTGTGACAGACGGTCTTATGTGCTGTGTGTGTGAACAACTTTAATGTACCAGACACTGGCAGTCCAGGACATCTCTTCTCTAATCATAGTATTTATTGGTCAGATCATTACAAGAGAAGTTGACCCCGTGAAGTCCAGGTGTGTAATTGGTTGATTGCCAGGGTTGGAAAAAATCTAGTTTTTTTTTTTAATAAAATTCGATTTACTTGATTAAAATCGGATTTTTTTATTTTTTTTACTAATTGCATTAAAATAGTATTTTTAAACCAGAAAAACAGTATTTTTCAACCAATGCTTATTCAGGATATTAAACAGAAAATTGGCATCAAGATATTTATGCAGTAGATGTACCAATGGAATTTAACACAATAATATTCTTTTTGTAAAATAAAAGAAAACTGGTAACATATCTTACATTTGAGTGCACAAATCCAAACGTAATAATGAAATTTAACATAAATGCTCTTATAGGATTACAGTGTTTCAAAAATTAATAACTTAACTTCTTCAAGTCAACAGAATAATATTCTCATTTTGTAAAATAAAATAATACTGGTAACAAGTTTATTTTCTTACATTTGTAGGACTATAGTGTATTAAGAATTACCGGTAATAACTTCAAGTCAACACAATATTCTCATTCTGTAAACAACAAAAATAGTTCAAAACATTTAAATTATCTTAGTTGAACATTGAAATGATTATGTACTGTGACAAGCTTAGATGCCTTTTCCTGTCCTAGGCGATTTCTTACCTTTCAGTGTACAAATCCATATGTGGAAAAAATTCTCTCAACCCCTACTGATGATGCAACAGCTGTAAATAATTGCCTAGGAACATCCATTACATTTTCTGTCATATCATTGGCAAAATACTGCCACCAAGCAAGGGGTGAGAGAGATTTTACAACATCTTTACCAAAATAGACCTCTTTAAATGGTGCACTTCTTCCATGGAAGGACATTAATGTTGAAAGGAAATGTGGAAGAGACTCGCACACATACTGTTCTGCAATGTCTCGCTGCTCAGGAGTCAGATGTCTGCCCTGACACTTTAGCTAGAAAATAGGCAGGTGTCAATGCTACTTTGATTCTTTTTTCAAAATTATCCATATCCTTCTTATCTATTAAATGCTCCTTAATATCAGTTTTCAGTTTTACCCAGATTTCCACAGCATCACTTAATAGGGTATGGTCTCTCTGGACACAGTCCAATGCCACAGCAATAGGCTTAAGTCTCTCTAAATAGTCTTCAGCAGTTCTTTTTAATGCCTTATCATTAACTTTCCTTTCAATTTTCTTATCGATGTCTTCACTATTTTCTTTGCACACTTTGACAAGGGTCTCCCAGTTCTTTAAATATGATTCAATAGAATCTGTCACTGTGTTCCATCGTGTGTCTGATGGCATTACTAGCATTATTCCTCCTGCTCTTCTATACAAAGATCCTGGGATGTGATGATTTCTGAAGTACTTAATGATTTCAGTAATGTGTTCCTTAATGTTCTTGATTTGCAGGTCTTGTGAAAGCAAATTTAACAGGTGTGCTGAGCAACCATATTGTTACCGCAAGCGGTACATAATTATGATGACATATAAACAAATGTTATGTAAGGCTGTAACTCACAACGTAGAGTGTTGAGATGGTTGAAGATGAGAGGCCCAGAAGGAGGTTGGAGGGTGTGAAGGGAGTTTGTTTATGAATAATTATAATCACCTGACTCAGCCATAGCTGACCAGCCAAGGGGCCAGGCTATAGGGTGGGCATTTCGGTATAGCTACCCATATCTTAGAGTTAACACCTACCCTGGCTTCTCTCTAGACTTTCAACACGTAAGTTTAACTATTACTTATTGTGTACACAGGTAGACTGTGTCATTGTTTTTGTGTTAAGATTAGACTAATGACATAGCCATGATTGTTATGTAAATATATATTGGATTAAACATTTATGTAAGAGTGCCTATGTATGACTTACTTGAAATACTAAATGAATTGTATTCAACAGGTTTGACCGAATTATAATGTTCGTGTACGACGTGAGAAGTATTATTCACCCTCTAACTGTCTGATTGGCGGTTATACATATGTTATAATGGATTTATCTTGTCCGAATTCACCTTATGATTTGATCAAAGATTCGCAAAACTGGAGAGAACAGACTATAGTACAGTACATAATTATCTAAATCCAAATAATGTTATTAGCCTGCTGCATTGCATATACTTTTCAATCATGTAGAATAAAAAGAGAAAACAGTTATTAGTAAAAAAAAATCATTTTGATTTAAATCATGATTTTTTACTCTGATTTAAATCGATTTAAATCATGTGATTTAAATCATTTGATTTAAATCATAACAACCCTGTCAATGATTGCACACGTGGGACGTAGGGGTTCCTCTCCAAAAGTTTGTGAAATGCTGTTAGTACCTTAAAAGTACGGGTGCATTCTGAACATATGTGTGAAGCATGTTACGGGTGTTGGTGGAGAAATACACTCATGACTCCTGAAACCTAGAGAGAGTAATGGAAAAAACTTTTGGAACACCCGCCTGCCTGACGGGTCATGAGTGTATTTTCTCGGTTTCTTGTAAATGCCTGTCATTTTGCAGGTTAGTAGTTATAACATTTGGGTTCTGGGTAGTTAGAACAGTTAGGATTATAATATTTTGTGTGGTATCCCAGACAGACTATGAGTGATCCATGTTCTTGTGTGGTATGACTAAATCGGGATTTCCATTCCTCAGTGATTGCTATAATTTTGTCGGATGCCCTTAAGGCATGTTCATCGGTGCAAGTAATATCTTTAATGTTTTACGTGCCACGAAGTGTTCTAAAATGTACGAAGGATCTGTTTCAGATGAGGTCCTCGTTCTGGTGTCTGCTTTGGTGTATGTAGTACTATTGCATTAGTAATCCTCTTCAGATACAATTTATAGTTAATATATGTATATGTATATATATATATATATATATATATATATATATATATATATATATATATATATATATATATATATATATATATATAAATATATATATATATATATATATATATATATATATATATATATATATATATATATATATATATATATATATAACAAAGAAGTATGTCTGTGTGTTTGTTTTTGTGTTTGTGTGTGTGTGTCCTCACGAGAATCTCGGAAACTACTTTTCCGATCTGTGGTGATGATGGATGGTGTTATATGTAGTGATGATGGATGGTGTGATATGTAGTGATGATTGATGGTGATATATGTAGTGATGATGGATGGTGTTATATGCAGTGATGATGGATGGTGTTCTATGTAGTGATGATAGATGTTGTTATATGTAGTGATGATGGATGGTGTGATATGTAGTGATGATACATGTTGTTATATGTAGTGATGATGGATGGTGTTATATGCAGTGATGATGGATGGTGTTATATGTAGTGATGATGGATGGTGTTATATGTAGTGATGATGGATGGTGTTATATGTAGTGATGATGGATGGTGTGATATGTAGTGATGATTGATGGTGATATATGTAGTGATGATGGATGGTGTTATATATAGTGATGATGGATGGTGTTATATGTAGTGATGATAGATGTTGTTATATGTAGTGATGATGGTGTTATATGCAGTGATGATGGATGGTGTTATATGTAGTGATGATGGATGGTGTTATATGTAGTGATGATGGATGTGTTATATGTAGTATGGTGGATGGTGTTATATGTAGTGATGATGGATGGTGTTATATGTAGTGATGATGGATGGTGTTATATGTAGTGATGATGGATGTGGTGTTATATGTAGTGATGATGGATGGTGTTATATGTTGTGATGATGGATGTGTTATATGTAGTGATGATGATGTTGTTATATGTAGTGATGATGGATGATGGATGTGTTATATGTAGTGATGATGGGTGGTGTTATATGTAGTGATGATGGATATGTAGTGATGATGGATGTTGTTATATGTAGTGATGATGGATGGTGTTATATGTAGTGATGATGGATGGTGTTATATGTAGTGATGATGGATGGTGTTATATGTAGTGATGATGGATGGTGTTATGTTGATATGGATGATGTTATATGTAGTGATGATGGATGTTGTTATATGTAGTGATGATGGGTGGTGTTATATGTAGTGATGATGGATGGTGTTATATGTAGTGATGATGGATGATGTTATATGTAGTGATGATGGATGTTGTTATATGTAGTGATGATGGGTGGTGTTATATGTAGTGATGATGGATGGTGTTATATGTAGGGATGATGGATGATGTTATATGTA